TCTGAGGCTTTGCTCTGGCGCAGGACCTCTTTGCTCCCGATGTCCCTGGTCTGCTGGGGACCGTCTCCAGCAGACCAGGGGCACCGCGAGCAAACCCGCCGGGGCTGCGGCTTTGCTCCCGATGCCCCTGGTCTGCTGGAGATGGTCCCCAGCAGACCAGGGGCACCGGGAGCAGCTTTTCTCGCCCCGGAGGTCGAGGTGGCGGACCGCTGCCTGTGAGCTCCGGGGCGAGAGAGCCCCGTTCGTATGTGCGGATCCGACATAAATCGGATCCGCGTAAGTCGGGGTCTGCCTGTATTCATGAGCAGATTGTGAAGCCCCTTCTTACCTGTGATGTGCTACTCCATTCTACTCTCACCCCAGTGTAAAATATCGCGACTCCAATGAGGTTTGAGTTTAGTGAAATTGAGGAGGATCAAGGCAATGTCCAAATTCCTCCTCCCCGACTCAGTAAGTAGTCCCTGATTGTTGGCTGGGCAGATAGTCTTAAAGCTGTTTCAACCCAAAACTTTCCCATGGGGGGTTTGACAAATGACTATTTATGGGGAAGTTGTGATTTGACAGCTAACTTCTCAATGAGGTCATCTTGATCTAAAATGTTTAGCTTTCTTTTTGAAAAACTTTTATTTATTTGCTATGGAGAGTATTTTTAAAAAGTCCAAGAGCTTTTCCACTTTCTTCTCCTCTATTTCCTGCTCTAACTATTCAAAATGTATCCAGATTTGAAAAAGTAGTAGCAAAAGGAAAACACTAAATTTTTGTCACAGTAGCTTTTTGACTCTTGAAAAGTTCGAGTGTGGAGGAAGTGTATACGGAGAACCTTAGTATAATTCTATTACATTTGGTGATAGAAAGGGAAAAGGAGAACTTAGAAATTAATTTAGATTTACAGGGATACTTGTCAATGTCTAGACTGCAGTGCTTTTCTGGGATACCAGAGGTATCCCAGAAAAGCAATGCTGCATCCAAGAAATGCATCCACTTTTCTGAAATTTTTTTGGAGAAGCGGATGCATTCTTTCGCCATCCCTGTAAACCTTGTTGTACAAGGAAGAAGGGATGGCTTGAAACATCAGGTTTTTCTGAAATTTGGCACCATGTAGACGTGCCAATTTTTGGAAAAGCCTCTTTCAAAAGAAAAACAGAAAAAGAAATGTAAATTGTGGTTTGCAGTTTGCATATCTTTTTCCGACTTTTCTTTGTAGTCTAGACGTAGCCTTTTTTATTAAGACAGCAGAGCAATTCAGTCTTTGCTCTTTCCCAGGAGCCTAGTATATGAACTGACTTGATGCGTGGCAGTTTACAGGTAAAATGTTGTTGACTGGTCCTTCCCACTCACTTAGGTTTAGCACCATGCCACTGCTGTTTGTATGAGCACGAACAAAATCCTAACCATGTTGCCCTTTCTCCTATCTCATTAGACTCCCAAAGGTACCTGTGCAGAATCGGTGAAGATTGCCATTGATACTGGTTATCGCCATATTGATGGGGCCTTTGTGTATTACAACGAGCATGAAGTGGGGCAAGCCATCTGGGAGAAGATTGCAGAAGGAAAAATAAAACGAGAAGAAATCTTCTATTGTGGCAAAGTGAGAAGTTACATCAGACTACTTAACCTTAACCCGGTGATTTATTTTGTGGGTGTTCTGTTGGTCTGAACATGCAGTACGTTTCCTTAATTTCAAGTTAAATCATCCAAACATTTCAGTACTCTTTCAAACCCAATCTCCTGTGGTTTTGTCCATCGTTAGCCTCTTGCAGCTTATACAGTAACTCTTTCATTGCATTGCATATGTATGTTTTCCATTGCAGGCCTTTTCAAACACCACTGCTTGAATGAATTGTTTTAAAGAGACTTACTGTATTTATAGGGAAGGGAGGAAACAGGGAAGGACACGAGGAAAATCTAGTAACTACATAGGGTCTTCCAAAAAGAAAAATGCTACCTATAATTTTAGGTCTAACTTTAATAGTCTTTTTATTCAGCTGGATTTCCAAGAACCGCTTAATATAAAAGTCAGCTCTTTTTTAACTGTTCAGCATAGTTCATGATGATGCATATTACAAAATGTCTACTAATATATTTTGGGTTCTTACCTTGTGTTCAGTTTGCATTCTATTATGTGCAAGCAAAGGATGTTTTCCTGGTGTTTTGTGTGTTTTCTGATATTGACAGGTGCATGCTTCTATTCACTTGTAATCAATTTGCACAGACTTTTAAGGAGCATCTGCTAAGTTAGGTGAGTCTGTTGCAAGATAAAACACATCACCATTGCCTCTTTGGGTCACTGTTTCCTGAAAACGACTTTGCCCGATCTCAACCACATAGGAACTGCAGGTTTTCCATTAAACATTGCAATCTAAAAATGGCCAGCTGCATATTAAGAAAAAAGTTCCAGAATCAAGACTCTCTATCCCACATGCCCTGCTGCCTGTGATAAAAAAAATTCCGTTTAATTTAGAACTGAGAAACAACTTGAGTTTCCTCCAGAAGCAGATTTAAGACTGTGTGATGCACAAAGCATGGATATTCTGCTCAACAAGCTGTCCGTATTAAGACAGGTGGCTACACTGGCAGGTGGTAGCTGAAATGTTGGTGTGGTCTTCCACAATACCTAAATCTGCTCTATTTAGGACTAACCCAGATGGGAGGAGACAGGCCTTGAATACTGTCTAGAAATTTCAGAAAGGTCTGTCTTCAGGCTAACCAGATGATGGGTATCTTGGGTCACCACTGACAAATGGGAATCCAAGAACAGTGATGTTCTTAAAATCATTGACATCTGGGAATAATCCCACAATGGAGGAAGCAGGCATAATTAGGGACTGGTAAATCATATGGGTGGTTTTAGAAAATTCATGACCGTATAAATGGCCAAGTATTGGATTTCACAATTTGCACAGAATGAATATAGCTAGCAAACTTTAGTCAATTTCATTTACTCCTACAGATGAGTTTTTTGTTTAAGACCTATCAACAATATTCTGTTTTCCGGCTAGGTGTCTTCCATACACATGTGCACAACAGTTCATTCCTCTGTGCACAGCATAGTACGCTGAAGCAATATTTAAAAGATCTTTGTGTAGGGGCATTTCATGACTGCTGTGCCCACTATGAAATTGTGATTTACATAATACCATGATTCAGTTTTTCACTCTGTCAGCTTCCAAGCTTAAACACACTTTCCTAGATCACACAATGACTCAGAGGGACAGGCCACATCAGAAAACCAAAGATTCTTCACAAACCTATCTACTTCCTTCTTCATAATAGCTTCTGATCACATGCTGCAGCCTCAGCATGAAAAAACTGGTCACAGACATTGGAAAACTTGAACAAAACATTAGTATATACCAAACTTGATGAATCTGTGGAGATCATTTTATGTTTCCTGAGTAACTTGCTCAGGTTACGTCTAGACTGCATCCCTCTGTCGACAGAGATGTAGATTAGGCAAGTTGAAATTGCTAATGAAGCAGGGATTTAAATATTCCCCACTTCATTAGTATAAACATGGCTGCTGCTTTTTCAAAATGGAGTTTTTTGGGGAAAAAATGGCACTCTAGATGTGTATCTGTTGAAAATAAACCCTCTTTCAACAGATCCTGTAAACCTAATTTTTTGAGGAATACAGGATCTGTCAAAAAAAGGTTTATTTTCTACAGATCTGGGTCTAGACTGCTGTTTTCTAAAAAGCCTCAGTTTTGAAAAAAGTGGCGGCCATGTTTATGCTAATGAAGTGTGGGATATTTAAATCCCTGCTTCATTTGCAATTTCGATGTGCCTAATCTCTGACAGAGAGGTGTAGTCTAGAAACACTGTCAGTGGCCTCTACTTGAAGCCACACATCTCTGCAATTTTGTATTCATGTTCTGAAGACTGCACATAGACAAGTACACTGAACGTTTTTTGGTAGATCCTCTTGCTTGGGGGTGGAGGGGAAGCCCTCCAGTGGGAATAAGCAAATTTCAGAAGGTTCAGAATCTTTCTGTGGCTTAAATACGTGGTGGTGGTGTTTTTAAGTACTCACCATATGAGACCTCTCTAAAACATCTTTCAAGTTCTTGGTCAATCCTTTCCAATCATGGAGCCCTTGCCAAACATCCAGCCAAATGTAGAAAGTTGTCTCAATTTAAGTATGTGTGAGTTTTAAAGATCTACTACTTCAGGACAGTTAGATTTCTAGATAAAGGTCAGTTCTCTAAGCTGTTACATCCTACCAGGAAAAACAGAGCTTTCCCTTTGTGCACACAAGTAATTAAATAATGCGCTGACTTTCATCCTGTGCTAACCCAACATAGTGCTATGTAAAGGAGAGAAAAGGTGGATAAATCAAGTAACTGAATTTCTACACTCTCACTAGAACCAAGAATCTCATGGGTTTTGTTCCTCTCCCCTAGTTGTGGAATACATGTCACCCACCGGAGCTGGTGCGTCCAACTTTGGAGAAGACACTCAAGATTCTGCAGATGGATTATGTTGATCTCTATATTATTGAACTGCCAATGGCTTTCAAGGTAAAGAAAAAAGTAGCCCTAATGCTTATTACAGTATCTGCCTGTGCGAACAAAGTCCTCTGACTCTGGAAATTCTTCAAATGTACAGACCACTGTTCGTTTAAACAAGTGGTTCTTTCGTGGCAGGCTAATGCTTGGCATTCTTTGCATTGCATATTGGTCTTCATAGAAGAAGATAAAGCACAATGACATCAACTTCACTGCATGGAGAATCCTGGCCCAGTAGAACAAGCACAACTGCCAACCAGAATAAAATGGGTCTTCACTACTGGTGCTAGGAGAGGCTCCTTTAGCTGTGGTGTCAGGGGGGATATAGATGGCTTCATAAGCTGTTAAACTTCTTCAGGTCTACTTCAGTGATGGGCAACCTAGGCTAGTGAGTGGGCTGCTTAAGAGGCCATCCTTCATCTCAAGTGGGCCATAAGATGGTCGTAACTAAGATGGTCTCCTAGGACAGGGTAGTTTTGCTAATTGCACTTGACTACCATCGCAGCACTTTGAATGAAGAGGGAGCACATGGAAGGCTATTCTAGAACCAAACTCCGCTGGTTAGAAACCTTTTAATTTCCAATTTAAGTTCACTTATGGCTAGATGGGAAGATTAGCAGGAGTTAAATGACTCACAAGGCAAGTCTGAGTTAGTGGTAGAATTAGGGAATAAAACCACTCTCATTCCCAGCCTTTATTTCAACCACTTGACATCTCCATAGTATTTAAAGGCATTGTGGCAAACCATTTTCATAAAATCTTGCATATCTGCTCATTCGTACAGTCAACTAGACAGACTGCTTTGGGAGGACATACTTAACATCTAAACGTGGCTTCCCTGAGGCAGGAATTTAAACAGTCATGCCTTCGTTCCCTTATTCTAGGGATCACTGACATTTGGGGAACCTGTATCATCTCTTTCCAAGTGTTGCCAACTCTTGCAGTTTTATTACCAGTCTTACACAATTTGGCACTTTTTCTTGAAGTTCCCAGTCTCTTCATGTTAATTAAACTATTGTGCGGGGTGGGGGTGGTATAGGGGTTTACATAAGGAAGTTACTAGCCCTCATGGCTTAAGAGAAGGTTGAAAACCAATGCAAGAACTCCCCAGAAGGCATGTATAAAAAACCAAAACGGAACGAAGCCATTCATCTTGTTTTGAGGGGGAGGCTGGCTCACTTTTAAATGCTCTGATTGGGCAATACTGCTTCCACTTAGAAAGCAATCTACCTGAAACTTTTGCTTCCTGAGAACTCTCAGAGCTCATGCCTGTCTTTGATGGGTGCATTCAAATACCAGTAGAAACCAACACATGGAACTCACTCAGTTAATTAGAGGCTCTGTGTTTCCCTCTCTCCTATGGAAATGGCATCCTGTTCCTTACACATAGTAATTGATCTCAGATGTTGAGAATTATATAAATAAAGCTCTAGTATGGAATCCTTTTAGGTGCATTTTAGAAAATATAGTTCCCACAATCTGGAATTTCCGTTTTCCTTTTACTTATGCTGCTTTCTTCCCATAGTTCATTTTCCCATATGGTGAAGGTCATTGTCCCACAAAATAAAGATATTGACAGCTGCTTTTAAATAAATCTACAGCTGATTCCCTGAGGCCTGCCTCAGTGCACTCTCATTTGCTATTACAATTGCAGTCCTGGAGCTCTGCTCATGCGCCCCTTTGAGGGGGAGGAGGATCCCTTTCTAATATAACATGCAGTGAAGTTGAAGTATGGAGCAATGTCCGGACCCAATCTGAGAAGCATCTCTTGGAACTGAAACAGTTGTTTCTGCAACACCCCCACCCCCCGCCCACAAGGTGGGATTAGTTGACCTAGCTTTCCAGCTCTCCCACCTGCCCCGGCTGTTGTTGGGCCTTTAAATTTGTGAATTAACGGTACTCTGCCAATTGGCACACCAATTTGTATATTTTGTATAGTAACATTTGTGCCAGCACGTTTGCCTCAAAGTGATATCAGGTTACCAGCAAAACAAAAACCTCTCATTTTGCCCCAGACGAAGGCTTGCTCTCTGAAGGAGATTTCCTTTATTGTAACCAGAACAATTAGCCTCTCATTAATATGTGAAAATAGTGAAGTGTGAAAGAAAATCCACAATCCTGCCTTTTGTGAAATTGTAAACTCCTTTTTTGTCTGGCTTTTGCAGTTCCAAATTATTTTTCAAATAGCCCTTTGAGAGGACATTTGTTCTGACAAATTTACTCTGGAACAGTTCTGAATATAACCAGAAAGTCTTGTAGTATCTCACCATAGCATCTGACTGCATCCCAAAAGAAAATAGACACCCATTGACTTATTTTGATGAACTTTTTGCCTTTTTCCCTGGATGCCTTAGGCAACGTCTAGACTACAAGCCTCTTTCGAAAGAGAGCATCTAGACTGCAACCACTTCTTTCGAGAAAGCAGATCACTTTTTCGGAAGAGAGCACCCAGGCAGTCTGGATGCTCTCTTTCTAAGAAGCCATGTTTGCATTCAAGAACACCTTTTTTCGAAAGAGCACTTTTGAAAAAAGGTGCTCTTTCTCATAAAATGAGGCTTACCGCAATAAAAAACAACAACTCCGTGTTCTTTCGATTTACTTTCAAAAGAATGCAGCGGCAGTCTAGACGCAGGGGAAGATTTTTCAAAAAAGGCTACTTTTTTTTTTTTAAAACCCTGTAGTCTAGACACATCCTAAGTGGCTAGAAGTGAAATAACCATTTCTCTCTTCCTTTGTTTTTGATTGCCAAGTCAGAGTGGGCTTGACACTTTGTTCTGAAGGCAGTGAGATCTACAGTCCCCCTTTCTTTTGACTGAGTGTATGGGGGGTGGGGAAGTCTATTTAAAATGACCAGTTGTAGGTGGTGAACAAGCATTTATTGTAGGAGGGGGAAAAAGGGGGACCCTCAGAATAAGAAGGGAGAGGGAGGGGAAAAAATTACCTGTCAGTCCCAGTGCTTATGAGGCTACCTAAGTGAGCTGGAAGTATCCCATACTAGCAGTGGGAAGTAGTCTCTAAAATCTAGTAACCAACATCGCTTAATTCTCTAAATTTGTTTGCCTCTTCCCATAAGCCTTGCCTCTATCTTGTCTGATTTCTAATCAGCCTGATCTTTTATCCAAGCACTTTATCTGGCATGTGGGTAGCTGTGAGATGGTCCTATCTGGATCAGTGATTAAAACGAATTTAGAAATGGGTACCATCTGCCTATTATGGGCTTTTTAGATGCTGGCATCTCAATTTCCCACAGCAGTTTCATTTAGATGATATGAAGGATGGGGGAATTAAACGCTGTGGAAATTCACAGGAGGACTCTCTCTGGATCGTGTGTTTTTTGAACCTATCCCTCTGCTGTCTAAAATATGAATAGTCAGAGTAAAGGAATTTGGAGGTAGTGGCCTTAGCTAAACATTCCCTTTCTATTTAATGAGAGTTGGCTCTAAAGCCGTCCTCTTGAATCCAAACCAGCCCATGAACTCTGGGTTGACTAGAAATCCATACCGGCGTTGCAATGACCCTTACCTCTTTTATAATGATCCATATAGAACACACTGAAATTTGAAGTAGTATGTTACAGAATCTTGAAATGTTTGGGCTAGGATCCCATTTTCATAAAAAACTCCAAACTCCTCTCTACTCTTCTCTCACTTTTTCATGCAATTTGAGAGGGAGGAAACAACCTAACTGCTGTCTTACTTTTTCCTGCCCACGCAAAGTTCTTCCAAGAAAGCATAGTGGTAATAATAACAGGCCAGTCTCCTGAGATTTGCTTTAAGGAATATTCTCATTTTTTGGTGTGTGAAACATAGACTTAATTCCACCTCATACTCTCCTCTCTGACACATGAGAGTGTCTGGTTGTAGGGTTCATTTTCATCTTTAAATGCTTTGTAGCTGCATATGTTGAATGTGGAGGTGCCAGACATCAAGCACATGAGTCACAGCTGCATGTTCCTGAGGAATTGCGCACTTTTTTTTAAACTGTGGCTGTCTGAAGTCAGATCACATGCCGCAAAAGGCATTTATGAAAATCAAGTAAAATTAATATCAGATTATTGATTGGCATTTTAAAATGTGTTGCCTGTAGTAGCAACAAATTGACCAGCACATAAGGAAAAGTGGTGTATTTATGGATCAGGCCTAAGAATACTTGCAACCATTCTTAAAGCTCTCTCTAAGGTATCAAGGGAGATGGGGAAAACATGAGGCATGATCCTGAGAGATCCTTGGCACATCTTGGCAGGTGTCACATACATACAACTCTCAATCATATCCCTGGCAGTTGGTCACTTGATAGCAGGGGTGGGCAAAGAGAGCCTCCATGGGCCAAATCTGGCCCGCCAAAGCAGGTTGATCTGGCCCATGGCTGCCCTGTCACTCTCCTGCCCCCAGGCCAATCAAGACCTGGGGCCGGGGGATCACACACAGTCTCCTCCCCCTGCCAGAGGTGTGCGGTGCCTAGAGTGAACCATCAGCTGTTCAGAACAGCTGGTTCTCTCTCTAGGCAGTGGAGGCAAAGACTTCATGCTCTTCCCCTACCCACAGACCAATCAGTCTGTGGGTGGGGGAGCACAGATGTGTCCAGGCCCCACCCCTTATACCAGAGGCTCCACCCCTTCCAGGGTGGCCAAGAACCCCCTTCTAAAATTATTGCCCACCCCTGCTTGAGAGTGTAACTTTCATTGTTCTTCAGTGTTCCTAAATAGTAAATAGCACAAGCAAGCAGCCTTTGAGGGGAATTTGACTCTTGCAGTAGTCTAGCCAGGGGGAAATGTTTGGCTGCCATGACAGAATATCTGGGAAATTAGGGGATTAATCTCTTGAATGCCATATCCAGGGGCGGATATAGGGCAGGGCGAACGGGGCGGCCGCCCCGGGCCCCGGGCTTGAGAGAGCCCCGCGCATGCGCCGCAGAATTATGCTGCCCAGGGCCCCGCAAAATGGTCATCTGCCCCTGGCCATATCCTTTGCAACCTTGAGGCATAACTCAAAATGGGACTTTTTAGTGCATAGGCATACAGAGAGTATATTTCAGGAAGACCATTAAGGACTATAGCATTAAAGTGCTGGTAGGTGAAGGGAAGATGTGGCAAACCCAACATGAATAACCTTTTGAACTTTCAGGAGGTAGCTGAGTTAGTCTGAACAGGATAAACTTTAACAACAAATGGTCTTGTAGCACTTCATAGACTAACAAAACATGTAGATGGTATCATGAGCTTTCATGGGTGCAGCCCATTTCTTCAGATGACTGGAGAGAAGTGGACTGTGCCCACGAAAGCTCACGATACCATCTATACGTTTTGTTAGTCTATAAAGTGCTACAAGACCATTTGTTGTGTTTTACCTTTTGAACTTTGTATGTTCAGAAAGACCCTAATATTTTGTCCACTGCTAAATGTAGTGTGTGTGTGTGTGTGTGTAAAGCCTCTGTTCTGAGTAGTGAAAGCCAAAAACTGTGACTTTGTTCTTTCAGCCTGGAGATGCAATCTACCCTAGAGATGAAAATGGAAAATTCCTCTACCATGAGACAAATTTATGTGCCACTTGGGAGGTATGTAGTTGTCACATACCTATGCACTCTGAGGAACCTCAACAAGGCATAGCAGGGAAACTTGTGCATCCACTGACCATGCTACTGATTCCACGGATAAGCATGACTTCCGTGTGCTAGAGTGTCTCATTCCACTAGCATTAAACTGACACTCTGGGTACATCTATGCAGTCAATGAAGGTGTGACTAGAACAGACAGGTGTTCCCGTGCAAGCTTTAATCTAGCTCAGTAGGCAATAGAAGTGAAGATATGTCATCTTGGGCTAGCAGCCTAGTACAAGCCTATTGAGGACTGTGGGTGGCTGTCTTGAGTTAACTCATGCCAACATATTTAAAATTAAAAGGCTGTTACAAGGAGGGAGAAAAATTGTCCCCCTTAACCTCTGAGGATAGGACAAGAAGCAATGGGCTTAAATTGCAGCAAAGGAGGTTTAGGTTGGACATTAGGAAAAACTTCCTAACTGTCAGGGTGGTTAAACACTGGAATCAATTGCCCAGGGTGGCTGTGGAATCCCCATCACTGGAGATATTTAAGAGCAGGTTAGATAGACATCTATCAGGGATGGGCTAGATGAGAATGGGCAAAATAATGTTGGGCCACAGCCCAGTGAGAGCCTTAGGCAGGCTCCCTGACTTCTGTGTCCCACATGCCACTCAAAGCAGCTGACTACCAGAGCCATGTGTTCTCTGTGTGCTGTTCACGGGGGGAGAGGGAGCTTCCGCATGCTGCCTCGACCACCAGCACAATCTCATAGCTTCCATTGGCTGGAAACCAATAGGAGCCCACACCACCAGCCCTTGACACCTTTCTTCCCACCCTTCCCCCCACACACACCCTCCGAAGCCCAGAGAAGGTCTGGGGCAACCCCACTGTGCCCCAAGTCCTGCCTTTTCCCTCTCCACTGAGCCATGTGGTCCAGGGGACTAGTGGGGCTGGGGGCCAGCTCTGGTAATAGGGGTTCCCTCTTCCTCCCCCTTCCCCCCAACCGCTGCATTCACCAGCATTGGTGGGGGAAGCAGAGCAACGGCCTCAGCTTGTTGCACTTCTCCAGTTGCATCGCTTGCTTCCCAGGGATGAGTACGGGGTAGTCCTGCCCCTTCTCCAAGGAGTGTAGATAGCTGTGGCCATTGCTCCACTTGTCCCAATGCTGCTGGTAAATTGGGGGGAGGGGAGCCAGACCCCTGCTGTGGGCACCTGACTCCTCTCCCCATGATTCCTCTTGCCATCTGCTGTCTGGCCCCTTCTGCCCATGGCGTTTGGGGCGTGTGACTATCCATATTGCCACACAACTTTTGTAAGAGGAAATTCAATGCCCTGCTGTGGCTTAGCACGCAGTGTTGTGGGTCAAAAATTGGACACACTGACAAAATTCTGACGGGTGGGAGGTGGGGGGGGGGAGGGTGCTCCTGGGACAGGAATGAAGTGGTGCTTTCAGAAACAGCACTGTGCAGAACTTCCCGAGCAGCTGCTTGTAGTACACCAAGCACTAACCAGTGCTGTCAGGTCCTCAGAATCACACATCGCATTCACTTAAACATGAAAAGAGACATCTGTCCCTGTCGCTTGTTTTCCTCAGTCTGTTTCTTATTGTGAGGCTCTAGCATAACATGACTGCTTCAGTAACAATAGGCAGGAAAAACCCAGCTGCTGCTGCTGAGAAGGGGGTCATTGCTGCCCATAAATATTAGGATCAGTCTACACACAGCTGCCTCACACCTCCCCCGAGTAATTTAATTGTTTCAGCGTGGCTTCAGCAGCCAGTACTGTGGTTATTCTTGTTGCCTCACCATTGAATGATGAAAATCATATGGCAAGACGAGGCCAGCCAGAGGCCATAAAACAAATGGAGGCCCTTGCTTCCCTAATTCCCCTATTCATTTAAATCAGAAAAGAATAATAAAACTGACAAGCAGGACCATTCAGAACCCAGATGTTGGAGACAAATAGAGTCTCCTGTAACTCTGCACCCTGAACAGCCACTGGATTTGTTGGAGAGGTTTGGGTGTGTGAGGGAAAAGAGAAGACTTTCTGTAAGCAAAGATACTCTTCTCCTGGTAGTGAAGCAGAGCACAAATTAAAGGCGAATATCCAAGTATGCCTACTGAAGGATTTATTACAGGTTTACCTTGTTCTTACTCCTTAACTACATGGCCGTATTTGCATTTCAAACAAATCCTGTGTTCCCCACAGCCCTGTCTTCTCCTCTTGCTACTTCATTTTGCAATGAAGCCTTAATGCTGGTTTTTCTGATGGGCATCTGACACCAAGATAGTGCCATGAAATCACATAGGTATGACTTACCTGTCAAGTTTGTCAGGAGGAGATCCTGGACTAACACCGACACAGCTGAAATAATACTTGGACTAATTTAGAAAGTGACAAGGAAGAGAGTGCATTTCTTGTTCGGATGTTGTCTCCTTTTCCCCATCCCAAAAGTTGAAGCAGTGTGACAGTCCCTCTAAAGTTTGAAATAAAACTCTCTGGAAGTGAACATGTGAAATGTCTAAGTGCTATACCTCAAATGTCCCTTCTGATTTTCTCTGGTTCCTGGGATGGTTCAGCCCTGCTATGCAATAACATTGAGAGGTGAGGTGCCTTGGTTTGGTCTTCTGAAAAGCCGGGATTGTACGAGAATTGAATTTAGAATAGGAAACTAGTATCTATCACCTCTGTGATGGAGTGCTAACCCTCCAAAGCGTTTCCTGGAAGCCATGCACTCTATTCAGGACTCTGTCTAGGGAGCTAGGAGTATTTCACCTAATAATGCTGACCTTTCAGTTTCTCTGGAGGCTTTCCATCCAAGTTTTCTTCCTGATGCTCCCTGTTCTTCTCTTTGCAGGCTTTGGAAGCATGTAAAGACGCTGGCTTGACAAAATCCATTGGAGTCTCCAACTTCAACCGGAGGCAGCTGGAAATGATTTTGAACAAGCCAGGGCTGAAGCACAAACCGGTCAGCAATCAGGTATGGTTCCAAGCAGTACTCTACCTGCAATGGGCACTGTGGTACAGTGCTCAGAGGGAATACAAATATTCTGCATATGAGGAGTTGTGTGCATATACCTATGATCTGCTGCAGGTAGTAAGCTACCCTCTGTACTGCCAAATTACACTCACTCTTATACACAAAATAAACATCCAAAGAGGCTGGGAACATCCATTTCCTTCCAGATCCCTCTCCAGTGCTTGAAAACCAGAGTCTGTCCCATGCTATATGAGTTTTAGGTGCCATGGGAATACTTCTAATCAAGAGAGGCATGGCTAAATCTTCAGGTCTCAGTTCCTTGACCCACGAAGGTTCCTAACAGCCTGAGACATACATGCCTCTATCAGAGGCTAACCAACCATCTGTGAAGCATCATTTAAAACAATTAAAATCCCAACCCTATAACATATGGGACATTGAGGTATTCTAAGCTTTCTGGGTCTGCTAGGAGTGATCTTTTAAGAAACTGCAACAAGCCAAAGAATTTCTAAGGCATTCTTGATTATCTCCTTTCCACAGATCATTGTATGAAGGTACAAGACCAAAAACTAACTTAGCAATAAAGACCATGCTATAAGCTGAAGTTTAATTTGCCACTAATGTCCATGGTGAAGCCTAAGTAAAACCATGAAAACAGGGCCCCTAATCATTTATTTCAGCGTGGCTTTTCTGGATGCAAGCCAGTAGCACAGGGGTGGACAATAATTTTTGATGAGGTGCGGGCCCCTCCAAGATTTTGGTAAGTGGTCAAGAGCCGCACTTTTCTGTGGCAGAGGTGCAGGGCATGGATAGAGGCTGAGTACAGAAGGGGGCTTAGAGTAGGAGATTGGGATGCAGGAGAGGTCTGAAAGAAGTTGTGACCTGGGGCAGGGGATTGGGGTGTAGGCTCCAGGAGGGGGTATGGGTGAAGGAGAGGATTCTGACCTGGGGGAATGGTTCAGAAGGGAGTTCAGAAGGGTTGGGTTAGACTTGGGACAAGGGATTGGGATGAAGCAGGGAGTGCAGGGTCAGGGCTGGGGGCTGGGTGCAAGAGAGGATTCAAGTCTGGGGGAGGAGTGTGGGAGGAGGTGTAGGGTTTGAGAGGGAGTTGTGACCTGGGGGAGAGGGGAGTACAAGTGCAGAGAGTTTGGGTGGTGACCTGGGGCAGGCAGTTGGGGTGCAGGAGGGATGCCAGATGCAGGCTCTGGTTGGGAGGTGCTTACCTAGGTGGCTCTGCTCAGGAGCCCAACAGGACCCCCATGCAGCCTCCCATTTTCTGCAGCCCCATGCCACTTAAAGTGGCCAGCTGCTGGGGCCATGTGTGCCTCTATGCCATGCACAGCTAATGAGTTGCAATAATTGTGCTCTGGCCCCCCCCCCCCCACACACACACAAGGGTCATTTGGTACGTAGAGGCATATGACAGCAGCCAGGCTTTGGAAGGCAAGGAGCCTACTTAAGGGTCCCAGCAGGCCAAATTTTGTGCCCCTCCCCGCCCTGCATCCACATCTGGTGGTGGCTAGGGTGGCTTTTGATCTGATGTTGAGTAGAGACATTGTTAGAGATTTCCAGTGACAGCTGTCGTGACTGATGCTAAGAGTTGTCCTCCTTGGCAGCATCCGAAGAGAGGCCAAAGATTGCATGGGAAAGAGAGGAAACTGTCCTCTCACCATTAGAGGGCCACCAGCAAGGCAGCGTTGGGGGGAGTCTGGCACTGTCTTTGTAGCTATTCTTAGGTTACATGGGAGTTTCTTTGTCTCAAGGGCTGTCCCTTTTATTTTTTTGCCAGCACCAAAGTTCAAGTTAAAAACAAGGGTACAAACTCCAAAGAGCATAACTGTTTCTGGCTGGATTGTCTGACTCTTAAGACTGGAACTTTTCAGCTTAGAAAAGAGGAGACTAAGGGGCTAGGAGAGAGGTCTATAAAATGATGGCTGTTGTAGAGAAAGTAGATAACTTTTCCTTATTTACTTGTTCTGTAACATAAGAATTAGGGGTCACCAAATGTAATTAATAGGGAGCAGGTTTAAAACAAAAGGAAGCACTTCACACACTGCACAGTCAACCTGTGGAACTTCTTGCCAGAAAAAAAGGCCACCTAGATAAATTCATGGAGGTTAGGTTCATCAATGCCATTAGCCAGGATGGGTAGGAATGGTGTCCCTAGACTCTGCTTGCCAGAAGCTGGGAATGGATGATAGGGGAGGGATCACTTGCTGATTACCTGTTCTGTTCATTCCCTCTGGGGCACCTGTCATTGGCCACTGTCAGACAGGATAGTGGGCTAGATGGGTCTTTGGTCCAACCCAGTATGGCTGTTCTTATATTCTTACCTCTGCCAAGATTATTAGGTCCAGAGAGTGTAGCATTGCCTGTTTATCATAGCCTTCTTCCATGCAATTCCAAAGGGTTTGCATTAACTTCCGGAACTTATAAACGCAAACTACTTGTATAGCTCGGGAATAAACCTCTGAGAAGTTAGGCACGTAGCCAAAAAACTCACTATATGGGTGAAGACACATGGTGGCCTCAGTTGAAATGGTAGAGGTTAGGAGAAGCCATACCAACAATGCCCCTGGTTTTTTTGCTTTTATGTTTTATTTTATTCCCTTCAATTTTCTGTTGATGGTTAAGCAGTCATCCAGCTTTCATAAGGCAAACAGAGAGCCATTCTTTTGGATGCAAGAAGAGACAAATGGCTACCTGATATTTGTAAAATGCTCCTGCCTCCTGGCATAGATCTCTCTCAAAAGACCAGAGTCATAGCTATTCAAGTGACTATATATACCTGTTAGGCAAACATCAATAGCTACTTGTATACTTCCAGTCTCTCGTCCATATCTTCTTTGCTATCTGTCCTTTGGGGAGGAGGCAAATTTCCCCATGTAATTACAATAACATTATTGCAAAGTGTTAAACTGTCTGAATTGTATCCCAAAAAGGAGGCCCACATTCCAAGTCTTCGACTTTTGTGAATGTATCAAACTTTTTCTCTTGCATGGACCTGCTCAACATCTGTTGTCATTGGAGCTGGATGAAATTTTCTGTGTGACACCTCTTTAGCTGAAAAATGCAGATTTGAGTCAACCATAGATTAGAATTCATGTTGAATATGCAAAATTGTTTTGATTAAACCTAAACATTCCAAAAATCTAAGCCTGATTTTTGGCACTTCTGAAATATCCCCAAATAAAAACTACTTTTCATTTTAAAAAAGCACTTTAGCTTTTTTAAATCTAAATGCTCAAAAAATGTGTGGTGTTCCAGGTTAACTTATAAATGAATCAAAAATTCAAAAGTCTTTTTTATTGATCCGTAACACTTCTTTTGATATGGACAGTAACGTGAAAAATCAGTTATTTCCACAGCTCTTCTTTTGGGACGGTCAGGATGGACCCTACCACCACCAGCCTGACCAGGGTTTGAATGATAAACACAGAAGATGAGATCCCCTTTCCTTAAACCATTTTCCTCTACAGCCTCTAATTCATCTGAGATTATGACTTGGTCAAATATATTGAATAATTTCTTGACATCTTTCTGATTTGTCTTTTTTTATTTTAATTCAATTGCTTCTTCTGTTTCACTCATGTAGGTTGAATGCCACCCATATTTCACTCAGCCCAAGCTCTTCGAATTTTGTAGACAACATGATATTGTCATTGTTGGGTACAGCCCACTAGGAACCTCAAGGGATGAAAGATGGTAAGTTTTCACACTAGCCTTGTTGTGGGGTGAACTCTGCTGCTAGATGGTTGCAAATCTCTCCACGGGGATCTAACAACAAGTAATATAATGGCTTCTCCGAAATCCTTGCTGTTCTCCAGTGAGGCAAGTATGACTGTTTGGAGCTGGGCATCTCTCTGAAGAATGTTATCAAAGTTCTTAATTTGGGTCTTGGGTAAATCTACTCCAGCAACATTTTACAAGCTGTATAACTTTTCTGACTTGGGAATTCAAAGTGTAATTCCCAGTGTTCCTCAGGCCAGCAGGCTATACACTGGGATATGTCTACATTGCAACTGGGAATGATACTTGCCCAGGTAAACAGACTTGTTAGTGCACTAAAATTAGTGGTGTGGACATTCCAGCTCAGGCTCCAGCTTTGGCTCCAGACCACTCAGCCCCCTGAGTATGAGCTCTTGTGGCTTGCCTGAGTACCCACCAGTGCCACAACATCTATGCCACTATTTTTAGTGCATTGGCACAAGTCTCTTGACGTATCCTAAGGAGACTTGCTCCCAGTACAGTGTGGACATTGGCAACACTGTAGTCTGACCCTCTGAAGTGATCCCCTTGCCTTGCTCTGTCAATAAGGAAAGCCAGCGAGTGAGCCCCATAGGGAATCCCCTTGACCAGAAGAGAGGCAGTTGTTGTATAGAATTCTGAGGCTGAAATGAGGAGCTGTACGGTGGGGAAACACTCCAAGGCAGCCAACAGGCTTGCTGGGCCCCTTGACAAAATAGAAGGGCCTGGCTCCTTGTCTAGGGAAGGAGCAGAGCCTTGGGGAGGGGCAGGGAACTAGCCTCCCCCAACCAGCCCTTCAGCACTGCCTGGATCATACCACTCAAGGCTGTGGCCTGGGGTTTTAGGCCCTGGGGCAGCTGCCTCCTTTGACCACCCTTTGGCAGCCCTGTGAACCCACAGTCATTTAGGGCACCAACCAGATCAGAAGACCTACCCAGTGGAAACCAAATGGAACTTCTCCTAGAAGTCCTAAAGAATCTCTCTTCCCAGCCTCAGCTACATTCCATTTCTCCTTTTCTCTGCACAATTGATTCCACAATGACTCGATTTGGGCTGTGAGATATCTGACTCGGAAGTGAAGATTGTGATTATCAGGAAACAAAAGTACAATACCAGCCCTCCCATGGGTTAGAGTATGCCTGTATGGTTTGAACCTGATCAGAGGTTTGAGGTGGATAACTTATTAGATCAACATAGAATACTAGGCCTGGAAGGGACCTCGAGAGGTTGAATCCAGTCCTCTGTCCTCATGGTAGGATCCAGTATTGTCTAGACCATCCCTGATAGACATTTATCTAACCTACTCTTAGATATCTCCAGAGATGGAGATTCCACAACCTCCCTGGGCAACTTATTCCAGAGTTTAACCACCCTGACAATTAGGAACTTTTTCCTAATGTCCAACCTAAACCTCCCTTGCTGCATTTTGAGCCCATTGCTTCTTCTATCCTCAGAGGCCAAGGAGAACAATTTTTCTCCTTCCTTGTGACACCCTTTTAGATACAGGCAGTCCCCAAGTTATGCAGTTACGAACGGGGATTTTCTCCTCCGGGGCGAGAAAAGCTGCTCCCAGTCTCCCTGGTCTGCTGGCTCCCCCAGCAGACCAGGGAGACGCTGAGCAAAGCCACGGAGGACCCGGGCCGGACCCGCGGCACTTCCAGCTGATCTGGAAGCGCCGCAGTCCGGCCCGGGTCCTCTGCCGCTTTTTGCTCCCCGTCTCCCTGGGAATTAATGTTACCCTGCTGCATGTAGCCGCGCGGCAGTGAGTTCGAGCTAGTGAAATTTAAAAATGGTGACCGGACGGGAACATGCAAATAAAGCCCGGGATATTTAAATCTCGGGCTTCATTTGCAACTCCGGTCGCCTTATTTGCCTATCTAGCATGAATTAATGAGCTAGTGTAGACATACCCTCGGAGAAGCCTTCACATCTACATAGCACTGCCTACACCAGAAGTTAGTTTAGTATTACCTGCCCTGCTCTGGGGACCACCCTGACAGTTAGGAACTTTTTCCTAATGTCCAACCTAAATCTCAGTTTAAGCCCATTGCTTTTCGTTCTATCCTCAGAGGCCAGGAAGAACAATTTTTTCCCTCCTCCTTGTGACACCCTTTTAGATACTTGGAAACCGCTATCATGTCCCCTCTCAATCTTCTCTTTTCCAAGCTAAACAAGCCCAGTTCTTTCAGTCTTCCTTCATAGGTCATGTTCTCTAGACCTTTAATCATTCTTGTTGCTCTTCTCTGGACCTTCTCCAATTTCTCCACATCTTTCCTGAAATGTAGTGCCCAGAACTGGACACAATACTCCAACTGAGGACTAATCAGCACAGAGTAGAGCGGAAGAATGACTTCTTGTGTCTTGCTAACACACCTGTTAATGCATCCTAGAATCATGTGGTTTTTTTTTTTTTTTTTAAAAAGCATCACATTGTTGACTCCTATTTAGCTTGTGGTCCACTATAACCCCTAGATTCCTTTCTGCTGTTTTCCTTCCTAGATAGTTGTTTCCCATTCTGTATGTGTGGAACTGATTGTTCCTTCCTAAGTGGAATACTTTGCATTTGTCCTTATTAAACTTCATCCTGTTTACCTCAGACCATTTCTCCAATTTGTCCAGATCATTTTGAATTATGACCCTATCCTCCAGAGCAGTCACAACTCCTCCCAGCTTGGTATCATCTGCAAACTTAATAAGCGTACTTTCTATGCCAATATCTAAATTGTTGATGAAGATATTGAAGAGAGCCGGTCCCAAAACAGACCCCTGCGGAACCCCACTTGTTATACCTTTCCAGCAGGATTGTGAATCATTAATAACTACTCTGAGTACGGTTATCCAGCCAGTTATGCACCCACCTTATAGTAGCCCCATCTAAGTTGTATTTTCCTAGTTTATTGATAAGAATATCATGCAAGACCATGCCTTACTAAAATCTAGGTATACCACATTCACTGCTTCTCCCTTTCCATAAGACTCGTTATCCTATCGTTATCCTATCAAAGAAAGCTATCAGATTGGTTTGACATGATTTGTTCTTTATAAATCCATGCTGGCTGTTCCCTATCACCTTATTATTTTCTAGGTGTTTGCAGATGATTTCCTTAATTACTTGTTCCATTATCTTTCCTGGCACAGAAATTAAACTGACTGGGTTGTTCTTATTTCCCTTTTTATAGATGGACATTATATTTGCCCTTTTTCAGTCTTCTGGAATCAGTCCTGTCTTCCATGATTTTCCAAAGATGATCGCTAAAGCTCAGATATCTTCTCTATCAGCTCCTTGAAATGCATCCTAGAATACTCATCAGGCCCTGGTGACGTGCAGACATCTCACTTTTCTAAGTGACTTTTAACTTGTTCTTTATTTTATTATCCTCTAAACCAGTGGTCCCCAACATTTAGAGGCTCCCGAGCGCCAGGGGGCGTGGCCGTTCACCTGCTGGGCGCCCGGGGGTGGGCGCCCCCCCCAAGCCGCATGCTGGGGGGAGGGGACCCCCCATAGCCACGTGCTCGGGGGGGG